AAACGTACTTACTTAAAACGGCCGAATGACCCACGCGTACACCAATAGAACTGCCATTAGCAGGCTAAATTACAATAGAATTTTGAACTTAAAGGTTTAATATCCTTAAGTTCAGTTACAGTTTTATCATCGACAAATGAAAATACTACAAAACCGATGTTAGAAATACGTTTAAGAGAAGAATTGCCTCTAATGTAGCCGCCAAATCCTGAAGTTATAGGGGTCGAATCATCAACAAGTTTAATACTGAAACCTATAATGATATTTTTCTTAATTATAAATATTAAAAATTTGCTTTAAAAATAACAATACTTACTTTTATTAACGGCAATTGCTACATCATCAATACATTTATACCATCCTCCATCATATGGAGGAAGAGAAACAATTCCAGATTGTGCGTTAATGCTAATAGTAAAAATCTTTATCGTTTAACAAAAAAGTGTATACATGTCAAATTATATGTGAATACGTGAAATTAAAGCTCATTTACGTAATTATTTCACTAAACAATCATTCTAGAATGTTATAAATATTCTTAAACTGATATCTAGCATTTTGTTTAAACAAAGTTCGATTCTGTAATTAAAAGAATACTTTACCTGAAAAACCAGAATTACGATTATAAAATTCATCATCGCTATTAAAGTGAATGTTTCTTGATCTAATTTACTTTTCAAAATTTTTAATATAAATTTACCTGTTTTTGTCTAAAATAAATAAATAAATAAATCCTTTGCGAAAATGGTCACACACATATACGTAACAGTACGTACATACATATGTGCATGCAAAATAAAATTATAACCCCTTAAGTGCATCCTCTCAGGATCATATTTAATTTAAAGGAAGATTGCATTTATTTAAAGTTAAATATGTATGGCTATTATAAGTTGTAGTGTCGTTCCATTAATTTTTATCACTTTTTTAAGATATATGTTAAGGCATTGTAGTGAATAATAAAGGAATACCCCTTAAACTTTATTTCCGGGCAGATTTACTTGGAATTTTCATGTTACATAATTAATTTTAACACAAATTTTACTAAGCAATGTCCCCTAAAGTAAACTGGAAAATGGAATCTTTGACAAATTACCCGTTTTAGCAGACATTTTAGATTAATTTAATTGCTATTGTAGTGTAGTAAAATGGCTGTTGACGAACTCCTTATCCTAACACGAATAAGAACAAATATTATCATTCTCCTTTATCCTAATTATTAAAAAGGGGTCGCTTATATAAATTAAGTCTTTTAACACACTATTATAGACATTTATGAATTTATATTTTGCATATTTTTTTTCTCATTGTAGAACAGTATGCATGTAAAGTAGTACGATAGCATATTAGCAAATATAGTTAGCGTACCAAATTTTCCTGATTTGAGATTACTGCAAAAAATTTGTCATACACAAACTCTGGGGTTTGCATATGTATGCACGTACGTAATACTATACATACATTTCATGCATCATGAATTGTTTATGCATTTTGATTTAGATTCGTGAATATGTCTCCGTAATGCGAGTTTTTTTAAACGTCACACTACTCAACCCCATGAATTGTTTATGCATTTGGATTCAGGAATCCAATGTCTCCATAAATGCAATTTTCTTAAATATACACATTCCCTTTAAACACACGTTCTAACTCAGTTCCAAAGCTTATAAATCAGTCTAAAATGTTAATTCTTAATTTTTATAAAAAATTTGTGAGAATTATTTACATTTGATTTCAACTAGACTTTATATATACATTATATACTCTTTATAAAATCTTCTTGTGATATTTGTTTCGAAATGTTTATTCGACTTTTTCTTTTTTCTTTTTTATTACTAAGCTATATACTTCTTTTCGTGACTTGTCAAAATGTTCCTCATGCCCGAGATAGTCAAACTAGTGCATTAGTCGGTACTAGGTTTTATTTTTTTGGTGGATTTGCACCAATTTTAAATATTACTAATGAAGTATGGTATCTTGATTTATCAAACTCAAGTTTATTTAACACTGCTACACCTACATGGTATAAAGACGTTGAAATGCCTGTAGGAATTCAGGATGGCACATCCTGTGTAAGCCCTCTTAATGATTCAGCCGTTTTTATAATTGGTGGAATACAAACTCTTCCAAATTCAATGTCTATTTCTTTTAATTCGTCCGTATACAAATTTAATCCTAACAATCATTCTCTATGGTCAATACCAAATATTACCAATTTTAATAGTACTTTTAAAACACGTTGTTTAGTACAAGCTGCTATTGATAATAAAGGAAGAGTTTTTATTTTTGGTGGAGTTAATTTTTATACCAATGATAATAATTCTTCATTATATTATTATAATGATATGAATATACTCAATATTACTAATATGACCTGGTCAACTTTGACCATACCCCAAGCTCCTTCCTATTTTAGTTATACTGCTACGTTATTGCCAACTGGCCTTATCGTTTATATTGGTGGAAAAGATTATTATTTATCAGGAAAACCTCATGTTAATATGAGTGAGGCATGGTTTATATGATATTACTTCAAATTTGTTCTTTTTATTTAATTTTAATAATTTATAATAATTTTATTAAATTAATTTAAATACAGATTCGAACCTTTGATACGATTTCTTTTGTCTGGTCTATTAAAGTATATACATAAATCTGTTATATTAATAATTAATTGATTTTAATTGATTCTAATTTTCATAGCTTTTATTATTGTAATTTAGCCTGCTAATGGCAGTTCTATTGGTGTACGCGTGGGTCATTCGGCCGTTTTAAGTAAGTACGTTT